AGATCAGTGAGATCAGCACTGGCTTATGTTCAGGCATAGAACTACTATTATAGTCTAACGCTGTTTCTTGAGAAGTTTATGATTCAAATGAACAATTATTGACTGTAACACGTGGATGCCCCCCTCCAGTGTAGTTCCAGCTGCAACTTGATTTGATGGCATCATTTGTTTGCGAAAGTGGTCGATAGCACTGCTCTTTGACGCTCATTTCTAACCATAGAATTAGATTCACTATTAGATGACATTTGACATGTTCTCTAGAGTAAAGAACGAGCGAAGCTCCCTAAAAACACTAGTTGAAGAATCCTAGTCGAACCTGATTTAAGCCTTTTTGTGAACTCCTAAATGTGGAAATGATCTCATAGTTTTGTGGGTTAGATTTGAAAAAGTTGGTAGGTAGGCATGTGCTTAGGGGAAGCAGGTAACCAATTGCTGCAGAGATTGTGCTCAATTGTCTCCATTCTCGCCCGGAGTTTCGCAATCCTTTCTGGTTGTGTCCGGTAATCATATTCATTTTTGGCAAATTCAGTCAAAAGTGCAAGTAGTAGAACATTGTGGACACCTTGACGACAGCGCGGCAACTATGTATGCCGCCATTTCGCACCTCATCGGACATTGTGGCAACTATGTATGCCACACCCATTACATTTTTTTTTTCGCAAATGCCCGATTTCTTCCCAGGTTTTTTGTGTTCATTTCTATAGGCCATACATCAACATAACCAAGAACCACGTGGCTTACAGAATGGCCAAATATCTTTAGTTTGGCAGAGGTTTTCCGGACCTTACGAAAATATCCGTTCAGTTCATTCCTCATTTTCTTTTCATTAACGTAAACATGTTGATAAAAAGAATAATAGAAGTGAATACAAACCTATTCGTATGGCAAGATATGTGTTTTTACTGAAACAACCACGTCCAAATTAATTTTGGAACCACTAAAGGGAAAGTAAGTAAAATTTGCCTTTTCATAGCCATAACACGTCATTTTGGTCGAACTTCCATTACTGTAACTCCCGATAAGTTGAACACATTGAACATTAATGAAACATTCTGTCGCATACAAGTTTTGCGTATTTACAAGCTCAAAATCCACGGTTTTGAGGTGATGCGACGGCGCCTTAAAATCGCGCCGGTCCCACGCGGCCAAAAAGCCAAAACGCGCGATGTCGTCAACGTGTTAACAACGAACAAAGGATGGTCGACTTCTTTATTCGGTACACGGGATGTTGAAGAGCGTTTGTGAATTAACGCTGCTTCATAATAAATCATAAGCGTACAGTGATAGTTTTGTATTGGTCATTCGCTAGAGAAGTCCTGAAAAGGGATCCTCTTTCTGAATTGAATGTTTTAAATGAACGGACAGGGATAGAAAAAGGGAAGCGGGAAACCAACAATTGACACGCCTGCCAACTTTATTTCTAGAGGGGCTATTTTCAGTCGTCTTTATCTCTGGTCTGCCACAAGGTTTTGACCATGAACTCCATGATCTTTCTTGTCAAAGACTACCGGGTTTACTTTCAAAAGATTGAGCTAAGCAGCTACTCAAAAGCGAGAAAGTTGTGATTGTCGGGTTGCTGATCTCTTTTCAATATTATCCCCCTCTCATTACTACTTGACAGCCCCATGATGAGATAGTTCACAGTACATATAATAAATGCCGCATAGCTGAGCGAGTCGGCTGCTGACTTTGGTTCAAGTTGCAGGAGCCTTTATTCTGTGACATGTCTCTCTCCGCCTCATAACAAAAGGGTATGCGAGGTCAATTCATCTGGCCTGATTTTTGATTGTCATGGTCTTTTAGAACGCAACAGTCTATGCTTCTGTCTTCAGTTTTTGGCTCCTTCAAGCGTATTTGCCTTTATTATTATGGATTTATATGTACTGTGATACGTTAAAGCAGCAACCCCAGATCAAAATAGTGGGGTAACAGCGGTCGACAATGAAATTGTGAATACCGAACCAACTGAAAATGAAGAAAGAACCAAGGCAACCGCGATGAAGCCTAACAAGTATTCCTGCTGTCTTCCTTGAAAAGCGGAAGGGGTAGAACCGAACGAGTTTTTCGAACTTGCTTGCTCCACAGCACCAATTCCATACCAACAGCGCGTATTTGAGTCAACCGCCACGCCGTAATCCATGTTGTGTGTCATGAGATTTTGGGCGAGGTATCTCGTCCGTTAGCTTATATTGGTCGTCAGTTGCTCCCTTCATAAGACCCTAGCGCCATTGTCGCATATTTTGGAGCCGTGAGAAACGGCTTGACCAGAGCTTGGATTGTTCAACACGACCTCATCTGGGGTTGGTGCTTTGCCCCTTTCGGCCGTATTAGCGTCAATTGCCACCATCAAATTCAAAGGACTGTAGTACCGGCGCAACAACATAATTCTCTACCCACCGCTAGTGGTTGTTTTAGGTGATCGCTCCCTTCCTAATTTTGCTTTGCACCCGCCATTTTATTATCTATTGCTCTGAATGTTTCAAATATTTGTGTACAAGTGCAACAATGAATGGCGCTGGTCTCAGTCACCATAAGTATCAGTCATTTCCATGATGCTTGAAATCTATTCATTTTGTTATAAAAACGTGAGTACGATGATATGCGACCACAAACTTCTTCTACTTATCTAAGGAATATGGAATTTTCTCGACAAAAATTAAAAACTAAGAAAATGTGGGAATTGTCTAAAGCTTCCTAGTTCATTAGTTCATTGTCGAAAAGCGTTCAAATTTCGTGAGAGTCTTATGTATGAGCTCGTGAGTAATAAACAATTTTTACTCAGGAAAATAACTCAGGGCTGAAAAAGTTAAGGTAAATTAATGTGGGCAAATAAACTCGATGTAACTCATTGGTCGGCTGCGTATCTAAGAGCTCAGCCTAATCTAAAATCCTGATGGTACTTGAAAAGGCTAGTTTTTTTGGCCGGTTCGGGCGTTCAGTTAGTGTAGAACATTATTGAGTAAGTCAACAGTCCTCCGCAGTTGTAGTCTATTGAAGCAACTTGCCATAAGAAAAAACCGAATCGGAGAGTTTTTTCAAATTAATATCTATCTTTGAGGTGCCAAATCGTTTTTTTTTTATAATTTTCTCTTATTTTTTCATTAGAAAAGTATAAGTGCTCATACGTCGGCACTTTCGCGTCTCAGTACCATTTTCGTTGATAAGTTCAAGAATCCAAACCAAGAATTGTTTTTGGCCTTTCCATTTTCAAGTCACTATTTCCAGACAGATCTTGTCGGAAGAGCACTCAAGGAGTTCTTGCATCCATCGGACTACGCAGAATACGTTGAAATCACCAACAATCTGGGTTCAGTGCTCATTGAACGTCCCGAAGTCTCCAAGTCACCTGAGAACGGTCTATTTGCTGAATTGCGTATGAAAACGGTTATCACCCAACGTGGACGGAATCTCAATCTGAAGAGCGCACTGTACAAGGTAAGAATTTATTATAGTTGCTCCTGATTTTGCGGCTTTCTAAGAGCATTCACTATTAATCTTCTTTCTATCTTTTACTGTATTGAGAGGATTTTCCCAATCTATTCATTACCTAATTCTTGGTTTTGCTTCATTTCATTTTTTTCTCGTTTCTCGGTGGCTGTGTCATAGTACAATGGGGCAGTAGCCCGGCATGTTTTAGGTCCTTCAAGAACTGCCCAGCTTTTCCCGAAATGGTTTCTGCATGATAGAGGTATACGCGCATGGAACACAGAACTGTAGTTCGTTTTTGATGAGCGGTCCTCTGATTACTAAAAAAGTGGGGATGAAGTGTTCCATGGTCCGAATCCTCACACTGACAAATTTTTGCATTTTTGTTGACGTTTCAAAATTTGCGAAAAATAGCGTCAGCGTAACACTTTGTCATATTTGTAATTAGTGCTTTCAGCAACGTTTATACGTTGACTTTGGCCAAAAAACCGGTGAAGAAAGTTAAGAACAGTAGTACCTTAAGGCGTCGTCGTCTCGCTCCTTATGTACTTAAGAAATCGCTCAAGACAGATGAACCATGTCTCCGCATCGCACGTGCCTGTATCATGCAAAAACTGTTCGTAGAAGCTGGCATCAAGCCAGGCAAGACCTCCCTCGCTAGTGATTCGAAATGTTACGGTATGCGGAGCTGATTGAGACCCGACACTGTCTCAATGTCAGCGAATGAAATCGCATTATTATTCGCGACTTAATTACTGCTATTGTGTTCTTTGGGAAGAGGGAGAAGGAGGAGAATTCAATCAACCTCTGCAAAACATGTCAAACTCATGAAGCTTTTGGAAATTCTCTAGACTGACTTAGTTGTTTGTTTATTTCCTCACAAAACTGCTTCTACTAATTTGAACTACGAATTCGAACTTATAATCTTCTTCTATCCTTCGAGCTTGTTCATGACAGTTCTTCAGAACTCGGGTCAGTGCAAGTTAGAGGAAGCAACCATCAGCTGCTTTGAGGTCCTCGTTCTTGTCAAGGCTTTCCTTCCGTTGTACTGATTCTGGGAACAGAAGTAGTTGTAGTCGAATGATGAGCTTTGGATTCAGGATACCACACCTTGCCGCTTTCAGCATCTCAGCCAGCAGTTTCTGCAGAAAAAAAACTTCATCGCATGTTTTGTTGCGGCAAATATTCCTTTCGCAGAATTGTTATGTAGTATTTGTCCCTATCATTTAATCCTATATCATTCACTGTCACATTTGGTTTTCTTCATATAATTTAGAAGAGTTTCAGTTCGATCTCTCTCATCCTTCGTGCTGAGCCGCTCATTGTGTGGCATGTTATGGCGAATCAGCTACCTTCGAACCAGCTGTCAAGGCCATCAACCCCACACGTCTACTGCTCGACTAAGCGTGGTGGCTGTCCACTTCCCCATTGAAAGTCTGCAATTATATAAATCTCGCTTAGTACGCAGACACCCCAACGGGTTCCTTCATGACACGACACACATCAGATATGAGGATATCATACGTTCACGATCGTCTCAATTACATATTGAGAAATGAGCTAAAAAAACCCTGATGGGATCGAGTTTCTTTGAACTTATTGAGCCGAGCGATTTGCCGTCATTCCGAGAAGTTTGTCTATTATTGCAGACGTAGACAATCGTTTCTCTGATCTGTCAATTTATTCTTCCAGTCAATGAAGACATTGTTCGCCAAAGGCCACGTTCGCACTCCACTGTATCGTCTATTGGCTGCCAACAATACAGTAGTTTGGCTGACCACAGAAGCGTCACGTACAACCATACATCCAAAGGCCAGAAAGCCCAATATGTAATCTGCGTCCATCATATAGCAGGGTTAGTCGACGAATCTATAATTTTATTTCAACTAGTTATATTGCAGTCGACATGAATTTGGTCCTCAATGAACTCCTTAAGAATTATTATTTTTTTCTACTCCTCAAGAATGCTGAGTTATAGGCAAAATTTCGCGTTATGGGAAAGCAAACCCGCATATTAGCTTTGCCAGAGGATAGCGTTCGATTCCTGCCAGGGGCGAGATTTTCTGCCTATAACTCGGCATTTTTATGTAACATTCGCTGTGCGAATTGCGTCCTCGAAACAGCAGTTAAACTAACAAAGCAACGATTCCTGACCTGCACCTCCCCGCGCACTAGCTCCAAGTATTTCTTTACGACAAGGGTATTCTGGATGAGTATCGTCAGCAACGCCAAGTTGTTCGCCACAGGATTGCGATTGAAATCAAAAAGGAGGTCGACGATGCAAGAGGTATGTTGAGATCTGTAGTACCTTTCTGGAGTTGTACAGAGTACACCCACGATTTAATTTTGATTTTAGTCTTAACCAAAGCATAGTGCGTTTCATCGAGTAGCTGAATTAGGCTCTGATCTTTTCTAGTTGTTTTTCTAATGCTAGTATGTGACGTTCGCCAAGAACCCTAAAAACCTACAATGTGCTATGTTGGCGGCTGAGAGATCAACAAAAGAGCGTATGTGTGCTACGTGGTTGCCGTAGAGTACAAGAGACTTTGTTGCGTCTTCGGGGACTTCTTATGGGCAAAATCTTATCTTGTTTATTTCTGAGCTGTTGGGGTTGTGGGAGAAAGAAATACGGCGCATTGGTTTTAAGGGCACATCCAATCATAAACTTTAGTTTCTGACAACGACAAGAAGAGTGCCATTGAGGTGTGCTTTGTTGACATGTCATTCTTACAGTATATTGTTCTGAAGCACTCTTTAGCGGAGTGCAGTAATAGCTACCACTTGTACACGTGAAATACCATGAACCCTTTGAGATTGTTGCTGCTTACACCGCGCATGATCGGATCTTAGTTCGATACTTGCTCAGGCCCTTGTTTCACCCCTAAGGGTTGGATACTTGGTAACAAACCTGTATGCCTGACCTGTACATCGTCTGGCTACTACAGGGTCGCTCGAAATTTCACTACAATTTGAATTTGAGTAGAATGCATGCGGCATACAAATCAGGATGGATAAGCGCCGAATGTTTCATCCTTTTCTATTTTCGTTCGTGAGCTCGTGGAAACCACGGTATTAACAATTTCTCAGAGAGTTCTGTGTGTGGATTCAGTGAACCTTTCAAGTTATCTGACCTAATGTACCATTTTCAGTCAGCACAGGGGCGATACCAGAAAATTTTGCCCTCTATAACTCGATCTCATTGTCGTGAAATCGGTTCCGGATTTCGAATAGTTTACTTACCGCGTTTTTCATTGATGTTCACTCAACGCTTCCAGATTATGCTGGTCGTCAACCTCACATCGATGGCAGTGGTGCGTTGGATTTCCAAATGCAACCATTCACTGGTCCGGAGGACTTCAGTGTGATGTCACGGCTGTTATCGTTTGGTGACCCTGAAGCAGCGAAAAATTCCTCCATCGACGGTGTGTTTTTATGACGTTGTTCTTTTCTACCTTTTTGAGTTCTAATTTTTCCTTGTGTTTTTGATTTTCCGCTGCTGCAATCTGCCCGACGTCTTGTCTGGGTATTTGGATGTTTTACTGGAGTATTTTGATTAGGAATTACTAGTTTTTTAAAGCCCAAAGCGGCGCTCAGTGCTTGTATGTAGTGCTTGCTTTGTTGAGGTCTTGCTTGATCATATGAGCATGCACCTATTTTCACCTTTTTGCATCTCTTTTTCTCAAACGGCGCTAAAACCCGTACGTGTTTCTGTTGAATGTCTCAATCTATCAGCATCTGAAAAGTCTTACTCAAACTATGTGAGCGATCCATGACGAGACGGTTTCCAGTTTCTGGCAGTAATTTGAACGACAGCGATGATGCCGATGATGAACATGAGTGTTGTTGCCGCTGGCGGGACAGTGCGATGAGACTGAAGCGACCCTCTAGCCGCCATTTTCGCAGGAAATCTCATCCGCTGAAGAGACGCCGTGTTTATTCATCGGAGCGGTCCTCTTCGGAATCGGAGGACACCAATACAGATGAGGTGTCCTCCTTTGTTCATGGTTAAGGATACAGTTCGCGGACTCTTAGGAATGTTTCAAAGTAGTCGCTCATTCATTGCTCATTGCTTTTACTCTACGAAAAGAGCAGGCGCAAATGGAGACCGCGGACTGTCGATGTGCATACTTTTCCCTTGGATGTAGTCGTCTCGTCGTTGTCGTTTACCCATTCGATGATCGCTGATCTCGTCCAGGATCGTTCACTTTCAATTGGCTATGACATTCTCCTTAATTTTTGTTGGCCATTATAGTAATGTTCGTCTTGTCAAGTTTTCCGTACGATTTCAATCCTTAGCTTAACGATTTGTGGACAGAAACATACGTATAAGGTATATGGTAAGAATTTTTTTCAGGAACGAGTGAGAGGAGCAGCGGCACGTATTCGGACGCATTTTTTCGCGGCCAGCCCAGAATGCACGGCTCAGAGCTTTGGACAGGTACGAGTAGCGTTTTGAAATCTTCTCTTTTAAGAGTTAAAATCATTTGCTTGACAATCTCGCGTTCTTAATGAATGGAAGCTATATTTTGGGTGACAGAACAAGAATCTCTCCATGTGACGTTGCGCATGAGGAAATCTAATGTGTCGCTTGCAGTCGCATCGTACGACTTGTGAAATTACGCAAGGTTTCAAAATGATTGCAACAAACATGTGGTTTTCAATCGTTTAACATATACTCTATGGTAAATGCGAATGCGTTGCGCGTGGGGGTGGTATCACCATCTTATAGTTTTGATCAGCATCGCCTTCCAGCCGCTCGAACATAAGGGATTTGGTTGATGAAACAACTGTGATGCCAGAACATGTTTAACATTTGTTCAATAAATCTGATTCGTCAGTGATAGCTTGCCATCACTATGGTTAGTCGAAATGCTGAGTAATTGATTAGATTCCTTTTTTGCAGAAGGGTAGGTATGGGTGCTCGGAAAACAAGGGTTAGATGGTGTTTGGATAAATGATAAATGGACAAAACCTTTGCAGTGGTGGTCAGAGTGATATAGCGCGCGGCACAGGATGAGACCCGCTCTTTTGTAGTTATGAAGTGAATGATTTGATTACCTGAGGGTGCCTAGTTGAGTGTTGTAAAATTCAAAAATACGTTTTTCAGCTCGAAGGACACTCTCCAACTAGCGACACCTCTTTGGCCACGGCGCGCCTCATGGGTACACCGTCTCGTAGTCCAACCGACGACGGCGCTTCAGCCGGAGCCGGACTCATCCGAGGAACAGCTGGAGGTTGGTCTTGATTTAGAGAAGCTAGTATGGTTTTTTTTTCTTGGAAATTGTGAATTTAGATTTTAGAAGAAATGAGGTAGTATCACATTGCAAGTACTGTTGCAAATATTGATTGTTACTGATTTTATCATTGAAGGGTCTTCATGCTCACCGCTGGCTGACGGCGTCTCGCAGTGCGGCCTATACAGCCCGCCCTCGACAACTCGCTCGAACCTCAGCGGAGGATCTGATAGACATTTGGACGGTAGCCAGTCCTCCACTCGCCCACGAAGCCTTTCCGCCGTTTGTGCATCAAGTAAGTCTTTACTCCATTGATCTAGTAACTCTTAGCCTATTTTTTGGACCTCTTTTGGTTGCTTGAGATCACATTCTATTGATATCAATTCTTCATAAACCGCATGACAGTTCTCCAAAAAGGCAGTTGCTGACTTCGTATTGTATAGGAGGAACTATAAGTAATCAAGAATTTAGGTATTAACGTTTTCAGATTCTGTCGCATTGTCGTCCGGATTGCTCTCAGACGAAGGATGTGAAGATGCCTCAAGTTTGCTCTCCTCTCTGTCTGCTGCCATTGCTCGTTCCTCAACTGGAAGTCTGCCAGCAATGACGGTCTATCCACAGACACAGTGTACTCCAACTTTCGGTGAGAAACATGAAGTTCCTTAGTTCCTGTGTTGGAGCTAAAAACTTTGAAGACTTAAAACTTCTTGATTGCAGAAGATATTCCATTCGAAGAACCTAATCTCGATAGCATTGCAATACGTGCTCCATATGTTTCGCGGCATGGTACTTGTGGTGAGTTTTTCTCATCAATCCCCTGCGGTAAGGCATTCACATTTTCTTCTTTTATTATTTCTATTTTAGAGTTTAATTTCTGCCTTTTTTTACAACACACAATGTGTTGTAATACTTTAAAATGAAGTTGCAGATGATATTGGGACTAACTTCGACGGCAAAGAGTTTGGCGTCGATGATTTGAGTGCACTTGATCTTTCTAATGAGGATTTTAACAGCATGTTTGAACAAGTGATATCACAGTCACGTCCATCGGCTGGTCGAGCCGTCTTGGTGAGCTCAGTCACTGCTTTATAATTTACTTTCTGTTTTCGAATAAAGCTCCCAAAAATTTTGCGGTTTCATGGTAGGTACCCCCCGCTCGACGGTGTTTTTGAGGGAAAAAGTAGTTGTGAAGAGGGGGTCGTATGAAACTTCTCGTGAAGGAGGGGGGTCGTAAAAATTTTGCAAAAAGTACCAACGATAGGACCGACCCTGGGCGAAAAACCATATCTTGGGTCCCCTTCACCCATTTCTAATTCCTTCCACCCTGAACGCCGGCGTTTCGCATCTATTAGGTCGGTCCATAATTTTTGAGAACCTTTGGTGTTTTTCGATTTAATTACTTATCTTATTTCTCTGATGTATTTATTCAGCATAGTATACATCACCATTATTACCAACATATAACCAATGCGAGGGTGGGTATTCAGTGTCTCTCTTGTAGAATTTCATAGAGTTCTGATCGAAGAAATATTGGATGTCGATTTTGACTTTATGGTGATTCAAGTGAGATTTCTTCTCCAGAAGGTGATTGAGAGAGGAGAGCGGATAGTCGTTCGTTGACGCAGGATTAGTGCTACAAGGCGGAGCTAAAAGAACTGACCGCCCGAGAGTCTCCAATTTTTTAGGAATTTTCTTAGCAAGGCGGGCTCGAACGACCTCAGAGAAAAATAGATTTTGTCTTCCTTTGCTTTCAAGTTGAAGGCGTTGCCATCAAGCTGTCAACGATTCTTCCCATCACTGACACTGGTATTAGTTGATGCCGGTCTTCAGCGCAAAGGCCCTCCCGTATTGCGCCAACGACTCAGGAAGTTCGAATTCAGAGGGAGTTGGGTTTGTACTGTCAGAGAACTCCCGAATCGTTTGAGCAAATCTACTGCGGCTCGTGGATTTGTTAGCACATTGCACCCAGTCCACATCACCAATGAGTATTATAGATGGTCATCCGAAGGAACTATAGGAAACCAACAGGAACTTGATGATGTCAGATTGGGTTGAGAACTGATTCGGGACTACAATTTTCCTTCGATCAGAACTCTATGAAAGTCCACAAGAGAGGCACTGAATACCCACCCTCGCATTGGCGATATGTTGTTAATAATAATGATGTATACTATGCTGGATAAGTAGATCAGAGAAATAAGATTCCTACTAAACTATAAACTAAGCGCTTCGTCTGTCGTCTGTCGTCTGTCGTCTGTCGTCTGTCTGTGTGTCTGTCACGAAATTCCCTAGCTCCTCGGGATCCGCCTGGAGGGACCGGGTCAAGTGTGGAATGGGTGGGCAAGGTCTCACGTAATACAAAACACACATCAGCTAAGCGGAGCCCCGCCCACAGAGGGCGTGGCGTGCGTCGAAATGAATTGTACCGACCAAGATTTCGATTTCAGTGACAAAACGACCTCGAAACTGGGCCAAAAAGTGGGTAAGGTGTGCATTGGTAAGTCACATCGAATTAGGGAGACCCACCCCCGGTGGGCGGGGCGTTCTCTAAAAAAGCAGTGCTTTATGAAAAATTTCATAACTCGGTTGGGAGAAAGCCTACAGAGCAGAAAACAATTTGGTGTAAGGGAGCAATGTCTAAGGTGTTTCCTGCATACATGACGTGGGCGGAGGCCCGCCCAGAATGGGCGGGGCGCGCTCTGAAGTGTACAGCATTTTCTACAAGTCCTCATAATTCGGGCCGGGGAAGTCTTGAAGAGCCGGGAAAAAGGTGGATTGAAGTGGGTAGAGGAGTGGAGCCCAGCTGTCACCGGTGGGCGGGGCTTGACCAAAGTGGGCGGAGTTTGCGACGAAAATTCAGAACTCGGCTCCAAGAAGTCCTAGAGATAGGGAAAACGGGGTTAGAGGTTGGCGAGGGAAAAGAGATCAGCTGCTTCCAAGAGGTCCCAGAGACCGGTGAAAAAAGGGGTAGAGGTCGGCGAAAGGAAGGGGGCCAAATGCTATTGGTGGGCGGAGCACGCACCGAAGTAGGCGGAGTTTGCCACGAGATTTATTGTCCGGAAGCAGTCCGGAGACCGAGAAAAAGAGGATAATGGTTGACGAAGAAAAAGAGGTTGAAAGCCGTCGATGATGGAGCGGATAGAATTTAGCTGAGAATTCAGATATTCGTGGTGTATCAAGCCAAATTTGAAAATTTTCGTCGCACCATCAAAATTCGCCGCAGATCTGTGTTGCGCGCGCAATGCGTGCGGCGCCAACTGGTATTAATAAAGTCGAAAAACACCAAAGGTTCGTCAAAATTATGGATCCGTAAATATTTGTGGAACATGTCGTCGAATGTCAGTGAGATTCTCCAAATGTTATATTCTTTGCGCGAGATTTAAAATTTTCAGCGCGTAGCGATATGGCGCTGGGATACATTGTACTAATGATTGGCCCTTTCCATGTTAACACATTGCGGACCGCCCTTATACGAGCATCTCCATACATTTTTCATGTTTTTAAAAAATGAATCATCATTAATCTATCAACAATTTTATCAGTGATGATACTTATGCTTTCCTGGTTCTGAAAATGAGTGCAAGCACTTAAGGAGCATTGAAAAATGCCAAATAAAATCAGATAAGATTATGATCTTCCGCTCCAAATCGTGCGCCACAATGGTGGCGCCGAGTGTGGAAGCGAAGAACGTGTACGCAATGTGTTAAACATACATCACTTTAATGGTGTTATTACAGAAGGGAAAGCTCGCAATTGCTGCCTCGAGTTGAAGCTATGTTACTTCTTGATCTTCTAGCCTTTTTTTTGTTTGGAATCAGCCTAGGGATATGGGTAGCAAACTTGGGCAAAAATAGATTTTCAACCCATTTCCGTTCTAGATGGAAAACTTCAATTTCTCATTTCGTTTACGAAGTTCCGCCTCCTTTGACGGTGTTGTTGCTTTGGATTATTTGCGCCACTATGCTATTGGAACAAATGAAGTTCCAACAATTTCCGCAAGAAGTTCTCATTGTTTCGGTATACGTATTACCGCAGGACGTGATTTTTGGGAACACCGAATAATTGCTTGGTCCCTAATTTGTTAAGGAATTAGAGACGGCTGTATATAGGATGGTGAAAATTCGAAAGTGCGAAAACAAAACATGACTGAAGAGGGAAGAGTTCCTTTCTTCCTTTCTACGGCCGCTTTTCAACATTAGTTCACACTATGCTCTCGTTTTTGAAAGAGTTGAATCTTATATTTAGGGATGTCTTCTCAGTCGATTCCTACATGACGCATACTCTGTGACTCTCCAATGTCAAGTGGTGGGTGCCCGCCGTCGCGTATCGTCCACATTCACCCCGTGTGACTTAGGCTATTAGTACTAATAGTATGAAGACGGATTTAGAAGCCGCTTCTCGATGAGTGAAGTTTCTTTGGTATGCAGTTTGAACTGTTTAGGGATTTCCGTCTTTAGTTTACAACAGATTTTTTTCCAATAGCTTGGCAACAAGTTCTCCGACAATGTCCTGCATGTAGAAAATGTTTTATCTGCAAGGCTAACACACTATATGTGTGATGACCTCTAGAACAGCATTGAACTAATCAATCAAAGAGTATGCAGGCGGGGGGGGGGGGGCAAAAAAAGAGTCAGCCTCCACATTTGAAGTTGAATATTTACACTCTGCTTAATTCATTCGTCTCTACCCAATTACATGCTGAAGGCACGAAACACTTCATGATAGATGGTAGGCTTCCACCGCTACGACATAAGAAGATTATCCCACGACGACATGGTGCACGGTTCGAACTCAACGAGGTCCCCAACGTATCGTGGCCACTGCGGCCTTCTCCGAAATTTTTGATCGGGATTGGTCTTGCATAGTCACAGCTGCTATTTCTAGGAACCTATCCATCCCTTGAGCTTAGGTGTGATGGTAGATGACGCCATATTCTGAGGTCGGTGAGGGCAGCGGAGGGCCTGTCTGCATATGAAGGGACATCTTTGGAATATTTTGCCATATGATTACATCAAAGTGACCTGCGCGACGAAAAGTTTGGTGATATGCGCCATGGGCAGAGTGACTTCTTTGTCCTCTCCTTCCTGCACAAGGGGACGCGTGTGGGCTTCTGTAATGATTGGACAACATCAAATTCGTACCATCACCTTCTATTAGTGGCGCTGGGAAAAAAGCGAGAAAGCAGAGGCTGATATGTATCATCATCAACACAGTTGGTGAGGGGACTGTTCACCGTTCACTAGTCAACAATTGGTTCTGTCTTTTTGTAGCAAGAGATACCGGCCTCCGAGATAGCGAGCGCAATGGACGACCAATTATCACCACCATAATGATGATGATGAATTGTTTCGACTTGTTTTATGTCATGAAAAACATAAATTTCATACATTCGGGTAATCAAAGCAAATTCGGAAGCCATCGCGCATTAATTGGGGCAGTACTCGGATGCTTCGCGAGCTTTTGCAGTCATCACGTCAAAGCCTGTGCTATCGCGGATAAAATCCGCAAGGTTTTGCGAGTTGCAGTGCAGTAGAGATAAGGACAGCAGGATAAGGATAGTAAGGAAACTTAAGTGGGAAAAGATGAGAAGTAACTGCATGGTTATAGGAGATTAAGGCGCTCATGTCGTTTAGGGGGTGGCATCATCCAAGTAGGTGAGCCAATTACTCCAGCTGAAAGAGGACGAACCAAGCCTTATGGAGGGGAAGGGATTCTGGGGAAGTATGTGAACAATTTCTGTTCTTTCCGACGTTTCTCCCCTCCCCTGGGCTTAGTCCTATATCACCTACCCTTGGCCTTGTTTCGATTGTTCCCTCTGAGGACATGAGCGCCACGATCAGCAAAGCATACATTGTTGACAAAAGATAACCATCTCAGTAAAAAATCTTAAGTTTAGTGTTTCTTATTCCCTTTGATGATAGAAGTGATATTTCCATAAAGGTTCTCTCTCATCTCTTTCGCTGAGATCATTGCTGTGATCACAAATCACCGCGTGCGGAAAGTTATTTCAGACCGTAGAATCATGCAGAGCTTATCCACAACCTGCGCACGCTTTGATGTGTTGAATTCTGCTGCACGGAACCCGCAATGCC